ATGATTTTAGAGAGACAAAAGATGGCCTATTATTTTGCTCTCTTTCACACTGGATGACAAGAACTTCTCCCGTACAGCTCCTTTATTTAGTTAATTGTTCCCATTAATTCACCCAATTTGGGAAATAGTCATTGATAGGAAATGTTTGACTTCATTCCAGGCCTGCAATGAATATTGAGAACTATTTCTACAGTATTCCTGAAATATTTTTATAAATTAAGATACTTCTCCCCAAACCCCACAACCACACCCCAATCCAGACTGTTCCTTTTATCATTAAAATGATCTGTAATTGTTCCCTTTGACTCCTATTTCCCCACTACCTATTCTCCACAAAGAAGGTAAACAATCTTTGTTGTTGTTAGGTACCATTGAGTCAGAACTCACTCAGAACTGATCCCCTGCTGATCTTCAGATGCTGTGAACTGCAAGGGAGAATTTTGCCCATCTTTTCCCCACAGAACAGTTCTGGTGAATTCAAACTGGCAGTGCAATTCCTTATCACTAGCCACTGTCACAGAGAGGATCTTCAATGGGGTTCCTAGGCCCTAGGAGTCAGAGCTGCAGAACACTGAACCCCTCTTTTCTCCTCCACAGCTCACTTGTTACAGAACTCTGTAAATAAAATCATCTTAGTTCCAGATTACAAATTCTGCAATGATTTTTTGTTATAATTATAATAAAATCTAAATGACTTAACAAAGTCTATAACATCTCTAACATACAGTTCTTGCCCACTTCACTATCCTTACCTCCACCATTGTCATGTAACATAACTGTGAAGGAGAAGCCAAGATGTTCCTGCCCTAAGTGTCCTGGTTCTTGGACACGTGCACCACACGGACATCGTCTTTGCATTTTCCTATTACTGCCTTTATCCCACTACTCAGGTCTCATTCCAATGCCTCTTTTCCACTGAACAATGATAGCCAAGATAGGCTTCTTCTAAATTCCACTAGCCATCACAATCTATTTGCCACAATATCTTCTATATTAGTACCAGTCACCACTGGAATTTAGAATGTTTATCTAGTAATTTTGTACTTATCATCAAAATGTTTATCACACATTGCTGTTTTTCGATACTATTGAGTCAGTTCCAATCTAAAGTGATCTGGATGGAACAGAATTGAAAACTGCCCAATCCTGCACCATCATCACAATTGCTACTTCACTTGAACCCATTATTACAGCCATTGTATCTATCTGTCTCATTGAAGGTCGTGCTGTTTATCAGAACCAAAGATGATATCTTTCTCCAGGAATTGGCCATGCTTGTCATTACTTTCAAAGATGTAACCACATTGTCCTCCATGCTACTACAGATATTTTGTTGGCATCGGATGCAAGGCAAATTTCCCAGTTCTCATAGTAGTCCATAATGTACTCAAACACACAGAGAAAGAGATTTTACATAATGAAGGTCCTGGCTGTTTACTTACTAATACTTCTTTCAAATGCCAATATCCCCTCATCATTAATTTTGACTTGCTATTCCCTGAGAATAGACTGTGAAACTTGCCTTAGAATGAAGAGAGGCTAAAACAAAGAGAAGAAAGGCTGAGGTAAAAGAGATGAGATGATTTCAACAGGTAACTTGAGAAGACACAGCAAAAGATTATAATAAAATGTGCAAAGATCTGGAGTTACAAAATCAAAGGGGAAGAGCATGTTCAGGGTTTCTTAAGCTAAAGAAAAAGGAAAAACAAATTCAAGCTCAAGTTGAAATACAGAATGACTTTGCGGGCAAAGTGAAATACTGAATGACTTTGTGAATAAAACCAGAAGCATCAAAATAAGATTTAAGGAATACACAGACTCACTGTACCAAAAAGAATTGGTTGGACAATGGCAGTCGTCAGAACAGAGAGCAAGGAAATGTTATGTGATTCAAAATCAGAAAAGTATTTCAGGGATGTGACCTGTCTCTATCCCTTTTCAGTCTATATGCAGAATAGATCATTCAGGATGCTGGACTTTATGAGGAAAAATGTTGTGTCAGGATTGAAGGAAAACTCATCAATAACCTGTGTTGTACAGATGACATACCTTGCTCACTGAAACTGAAAAGGACCTGAGGCGTTTGATGCAGAAGGTTAAAGTCAATTAAAGACTATAGTCTTCAATATGAATTAAAGCACAACTTCAAGAAGACAAAGATTCTCACTACCGGGCCAACTGCCAACATCATGATAGATGAAGAAGAGATTGAGGTGTTAACAGTTTTAGCTTTCCTGGCTACACAATCAACACTTTTGGTACTAGCAGTCAGGAAATCAAAAGATGAATTAGCTTAAGGAAATCTGCTGTTAAGGACTTCTCCAAACTGCGAAAGAGTAATGATGTCATTTAGAGACTAATATGCACCTGATTCAGGCCAGAGTCTTCACAGTTAGTTGGTATGCATCAGAAAGCTGGACAATGACTAAGGATAAGAAGAAAAATTGATGTCTTTGCATTGTGATGCTGGAGAAGAGCATTGAACATACTATGGACTGCCAAGAGAATAAACAGGTCTGTATTGGAGAGGGTGAAGCAAAATTTCTCCTTGGAGGTAAGGATTTTGAAGTTCCATCTCACATATTTTAGGCATGTGGCCAGTACTTGGAGAAGGACATCATGATTTAAAGGGTAGAAGGATAGGAGAGAATTAGATTAGATTGAAAAGGAGAGAGAAAGCAAAATTAGGAAAATCATAGACTTTGAAAGGAGCTCTGGTGGTCTAGTAGTAAGAAATGGTGCTGTAATACCAGAAGCACGTGGTTCAAATCCACTATATGCCCCACAGGAGAAGGATGGGCAATCTCCTCCCCTGGAATTCACCATCCCTGAAAACCCACAGGAGGGACAGCTATGAGTCAGTTCCAACTTGATGGAAAACAACAGCACAACACATACTTGAAGTAACCATGCTTGAAAATGTCCTCAAATTGAGGAAAGGTGGAAGTTTTTACTGAGTGAAGAGCAGGATAAATTAAAGAATAGCTTATTCTAGACATAACATAAAATATGCTAGGAATAAGTTAGCTGAGAAAAAGGGAAAAAATTAAATAAACTTCTTGTAGAACATCTTGGCATTATTTGCATTTTTTAGTTACTCACCTTCAGCTGCAGTATGGGCCGTCCTCTAACATCCTCACAAGACAGACATTTTTCTGAGTTCTTTATTCCCAAATAAATTGGAATCCCTTTGTTTTGCTCATAAGACTCTGGATACTTACATGGCATAAGAGTGACAGTGACTGTAAGTACAAAAGGCAGAGAGATTATCAGGATAGAGTTTATATTAGAAATCAAGAAAATACTTTTTGATAGACCAGGGTAGTATGTTGTGAGTCTAGAAGACACTGTCTTGGAGGTGAAGCAGTTATAATTACTTAAACCAACAATAGTTTCTTGGCTAAAGAGTTTCACACCTCAGCTTAAGCTTTAGAAACGCCTCAAGTAAATTCCCTTATCCATAAAGCATTCTGTCTGTTAATAAAGTTTTGTCTGATAGGCTGAATGTTGCCTTTTTTTTATAACTGCCAATTTATACTTTCAGCCTTCATGGGTTTTATTGTTTCCTCTTACTCACAAATGATGTGGATTCTGATGTAAACAAAATCCCTCATTTTTAAAAAGTTTTCATTATTATTGCTTTTTACTGTCAGTATCTTTATAAATCAGATCTTAATTTGTCTTTGAGGGTTAAGATAAAAATGATAACATCAGTAAATCATGTGCTGAATCTTTAGGTGTGGTGTATATTATGAATGATAAAATATAAATAAACAAAATGGATGACAATAAGTGTGGGTCATAAGATGAAGACAGCCTATGTAAGGGACTTCCTCTCCTCCTTTTATGAGACCTTGAAGTCACACACACACACAAAATGCTGCTCCGATTGCACAGGACAGACCTTCTAGTCACTGAAATAATTTCTCCATTGCTCAAGAGAGTCTAAGGCCAACTTCTCCTGTTCTTCCATTTCCAGACAGCTATAAAACTTTCCCGCCTCTAGGTGAGTTTGATTGTAAAACTTAACTTTAACAAAAGGCCAGGTGCCCAACAACATCTGCACCCATCAGAGAAACAATACCTTGGAGAGAACAGCCACGGGACAATCGCTTACCTGGGTCTACACTGCTGCTCCATGGAACTGCCACGAGGGTGTCACCTTGAAGAGTCCACACTTGATGATTCAAATCTGAAACCTTTCCAGTTTTAGGATTAAACATCACTGTTTTAATAGACAAACATAAAGAAGAGACATGGTTATTAAAGGTGCTATATTGCAGATACTAGAAGAAAGAGAATCGAATCCAGGTTCTTCATAGGGAAGGTCTGGGGTTTACACATCAAGGTTAGGAGTGTTCACATGGTCCCAGACTTTTATTCCCAATAAAACTGTGGACCCTGGTGAGAAGGGTATGGGTCATAAAGGGCAAAATAACCAGTCTTAAAGAAAAGCCTGTTAGGACAGAGGACGATAAGCTTTACCATAATACACAGTGTAAAGGCCTAGTCATGTTTAGGTTGTTCTTTGGTTTTCTTTAAGATTAAAAAAAAAGTAAAAATAGATTTATTAAAAGGTTACATCCCAAAGGTGGGCTGAATCTTCCTTCTTGAAAGGAAATACAGACAAGTCCTCTAGTCATGTTTTTTATGTCTGTTCTATGCCTGGCCTCATGCTATAGGCCACGACAAGAAGAGTGAAAAAAGAAATATTCTCCATTTTCCTGAAGCCCAGTGGGAAATGGAGAGGACCAGATGATATGAGCCATATTCACGGTATGACAGAGAATTCTAGAATGTCCAGAGGAGGCACTGTGAACACAGGCACCTCCGGTCCACAGAGCCTCGTCCCAACATTACCTTCCTTATGCACTGATGGACTGTCTGTCATGATGGATTTGTCTCAGCACCTGTGAAAACAGATTAGAGACACCTCAGAAAACATTTCCAAGGCCCAATCAGGACACTCATTCCTGAGGGCCTCCTTAAGTACAGGGTGCTGAAGCCTAGGTAAACATCTGAGCCACCGGGACAACAACCCAACTAACACAAGCAGGAGAGATCAGATGGAATTTTTCTAGGAATCCATCCAATAACTCTGTCTCCCTAGAAGTTCCAAGGCACTTAACATTCAATATCCCACAGCCTCCTGATATCAGTATCTCCTCTACCCAGGATCCCTTCCTCTGTCAACAGCTGTTTCCACTTGGGAACAGGGAGAGCCCTGTGCCAGAACCATTCTGCCAGGTTTCTACTAACACCCCACTGAGAAGCAGCTAGTTCCTCACAGAACATTAAACCAGAAAAATGTGGCCCCATCCCACAGTTGAGTCTCAAAACACAGCTAGAGAATAAAGACCAGAATCAGAGGACTTCCCAGCTATCAGTTGCACCTGACAAGGAAGGGCCTGTATCAAATATCCAGGAGACTAAACCACAGCTCTAGCAGCTTACAAGAGCTCTGACAGGCTCTAAAAGAGAACCTGGGCCTTTTATTTGGAAAGCTTAGGGATGCTCCAGCTTCCTTCATAGGGTGTGACTACCAAGCAATGTGCCAGAAGATCCTGTAAGACTCAGGTGAAGAAATCACAGCATCAGCACAAATGTGACCTGCTCCCTGAGACATAAAGGGCTGAACTTTAGAAGATCAACCACAAGAAAACAAACGTGATGACAAAATCCAATTTTGTCAGAAAGGGAAGACTGAGGGACTGCCCCAGAGCACAGTTCTCATGCCTTGACACTCTAAGGTTATGACTGAAAATTCCAGGCACCTTATTTCAGGAACTCTATCTCCTAGGACTAGAAGCCTTACCCTCTATGGTCAGGTTAAGGAAGTCTAATGAGAACAAAATTAATAACATGTTCCTGGCATGATCCCACTTCAGGCCACTCTTAAATGGAGAATTAGCTGGAAAAACATCTGGTCATAAGACTAAGCACCTTTAAGATATAGTCTCATCCCCTTGAAAACTTATTACTTGAAACTAAACATACAGTATCTTTTTTTATTAGTTTAGTTTGTTTATTTTTCATTTCAATGAATATCTACAGAGATTTTGGAATTCCATTCACTCATTGTTGCACC